CAGTTTCCGAAGTGTAGTCGTCATAATGTTCGCCTAACACGCGAAATGTCCCTGGTTTGAAACCGGGTGGAAACATTGTAAGTATAACCAAAAACAATTCCTGTTTTATTTAATGTGCACGTCAAATGTGCCCTCATGAAGATGATGATTTCATGATTCTTCATTGTTGGCAGAGGCCTATGCCAGTGAAATATGTTGCAACTTCACAAATTTGACAAGCAGTTTCCGTAGTGTAGTGGTTATCACGTTCGCCTAACCCGTGAAAGGTCCCTGGTTTGAAACCAGGTGGAAACATTTTACATATAACCGAAAAAAATCGTATTTTATTTAAATTGGACGCAAAATGTGCTTTCATGAAGATGATGATTTCATGATTCTTCATTGTTGGCATAGGTCTATACCAGTGAAGTGTGTTGCAACTTAGCAGTTTGGACAAGCTGTTGACATAGTGTAGTGGTTATCACGTTTGCCTCACACGCGAAAGGTCCCCGGTTTGAAACCGGGCAGAAACGTTTTACGTTAAACCAAAACAATTCGGATTTTATTTAAAGAGGACGCAAAATGTGCCTTCATGAACGTGATGATTTCATGATTCTTCATTGTTGGCATAGGCCTATGCCAGTGAAGTATGTAGCAACTACCCATGTTCTTCAAGCAGTTTCCGTTTTGTAGTGGTTATCACGTTCGCCTCAAACGCGAAAGGTCCCTGGTTTGAAACCGGGTGGAAACATTTTATCTTAAACCAAAACAATTCGGATTTTATTTAAAGTGGACGCAAAATGTGCCTTCATGAACGTGATGATTTAATGATTTGACATTGTTCGTTTCGACTTATTTCAGTGAAATATGTTGCTACTTTACATGTTCTTCAAGCAGTTTCTGTAGTGTAGTGGTTATCATGTTCGCCTAACACGCGAAAGGTTCCTGGTTTGAAACCGGGTGGACACATTTTACATATAACCAATAAAAATCGTATTTTATTTAAATTGGACCTAAAATGTGCTTTCATGAAGATAATCAATTCATGATTCCACCTTGTTGGCATAGGCCTATACCAGTGAAGTGTGTTGCAACTTCACAAGTTTGACAAGCATTTTCCGTAGTGTAGTGGTTATCACGTTAGCCTCACACGCGAAAGGTCCCAGGTTCGAAACCGGGCGGAAACATTTTACGTAAAACCAAAACAATTCGTATTTTAATTAAAGTGTACGTAAAATATGCCTTCATGAACTTGATGATGTAATGATTTGTAACTGGACGATTCGACCTATTTGAGTGAAATATGTTGCTACGTTACATGTTCTTCAAGCAGTTTCCGTAGTGTAGTGGTTATCATGTTCGCCTAACACGCGAAAGGTTCCTGGTTTGAAACCGGTTGGAAACATTTTACGTATAACCAAAAAAAATCGTATTTTATTTAAATTGGACGTTGAATGTGCTTTCATGAAGATGATGATTTAATGATTCTTCATTGTTGGCGTAGGTCTATACCAGTGAAGTGTGTTGTAACTTAGCAGTTTGGAAAAGCTGTTTCCATATTGGAGTGGTTATCACGTTTGCCTCACACGCGAAAGGTCCCTAGTTTGAAACCGGGTGGAAACATTTTATCTAAAACCAAAAAATTCGGATTTTATTTAAAGTGGACGCAAAATGTGCCTTCATGAACTTGATGATTTAATGATTTGACATTGTTCGTTTCGACTTATTTCAGTGAAGTATGTTGCAACTTCACAAGTTTGACAGTTTCCGTAGTGTAGTGGTTATCACGTTTGCCTAACACGTGAAAGGTTCCTGGTTTGAAACCGGGTGGAAACATTTTATGTATAACCAAAAAAATCGTTTTTTATTTTAAGTGCAGGTAAAATGTGCCCTCATGAAGATAATGAATTCATGATTCTTCATTGTTGGCATAGGCCTATACCAGTGAAGTGTGTTGCAACCTCACGGAGTTGACAAGCAGTTTCCGTAGTGTAGTGGTTATCACGTTCGCCTAACCCGTGAAAGGTCCCCGGTTTGAAACCGGGCAAAAACATTTCACGTTAAACCAAAACAATTCGGATTTTATTTAATGAGGACGCAAAATGTGCCTTCATGAACGTGATGATTTCATGATTCTTCATTGTTGGCATAGGCCTATGCCAGTGAAGTATGTAGCAACTACCCATGTTCTTCAAGCAGTTTCCGTTTTGTCGTGGTTATCACGTTCGCCTCAAACGCGAAAGGTCCCTGGTTTGAAACCGGGTGGAAACATTTTATCTTAAACCAAAACAATTCGGTTTTTATTTAAAGTGGACGCAAAATGTGCCTTCATGAACGTGATGATTTAATGATTTGACATTGTTCGTTTCGACTTATTTCAGTGAAATATGTTGCTACGTTACACGTTCTTCAAGCAGTTTCCGTCGTGTAGTGGTTATCACGTTTGCCTCACACGCGAAAGGTCCCCGGTTTGAAACCGGGCCGAAACATTTCACGTTAAACCAAAACAATTCGGATTTTATTTAAAGAGGACGCAAAATGTGCCTTCATGAACGTGATGATTTCATGATTCTTCATTGTTGGCATAGGCCTATGCCAGTGAAGTATGTAGCAACTACCCATGTTCTTCAAGCAGTTTCCGTTTTGTCCTGGTTATCACGTTCGCCTCAAACGCGAAAGGTCCCTAGTTTGAAACCGGGTGGAAACATTTTATCTAAAACCAAAACAATTCGGATTTTATTTAAAGTGGACGCAAAATGTGCCTTCATGAACGTGATGATTTAATGATTTGACATTGTTCGTTTCGACTTATTTCAGTGAAATATGTTGCTAAGTTACATGTTCGTCAAGCAGTTTCCGTAGTGTAGTGGGTATCATGTTTGCCTAACACGCGAAAGGTCCCCGGTTCGAAACCGGGTGGAAACATTTTACATAAAACCAAAACAATTCGTATTTTAATTAAAGTGTACGTAAAATATGCCTTCATGAACTTGATGATTTAATGATTTGTAACTGGACTATTCGACTTATTTCAGTGAAATATGTTGCTACGTTACATGTTCTTCAAGCAGTTTCTGTAGTGTAGTGGTTATCATGTTCGCCTAACACGCGAAAGGTTCCTGGTTTGAAACCGGGTGGACACATTTTACGGTAAACCAAAACATTTCCTGTTTTATTTAAATTGCACGTAAAATGTGCCCTCATGAAGATGATGATTTCATGATTCTTCATTGTTGGCATAGGCCTATGGCAGTAAAGTATGTTGCAACTTCACAAGTTTGACAGTTTCCGTAATGTAGTGGTTATCATGTTCGCCTAACACGTGAAAGGGTCCTGGTTTGAAACCGGGTGGAAACATTTTACGTATAACCAAAAAAAATCGTGTTTTATTTAAACTGCACGTTAAATGTGCTATCATGAAGATGATGATTTCATGATTCTTTATTGTTGGCATAGGTCTATACCAGTGAAGTGTGTTGCAACTTTATGAGTTTGACAAGCAGTTTCCGTAGTGTAGTGGTTATCACGTTCGCCTCACACGCGAAGGGTCCCTGGTTCGAAACCGGGCGGAAACATTTTACGTATAACCAATAAAAATCTATTTTATTTAAATTGGATCTAAAATGTGCTTTCATGAAGATAATGAATTCATGATTCTTCATTGTTGGCATAGGCCTATACCAGTGAAGTGTGTTGCAACTTCACGAGTTTGACAAGCAGTTTCCGTAGTGTAGTGGTTATTACGTTTGACTAACACGTGAAAGGTCCCTAGTTTGAAACCGGGTGGAAACATTTTATCTAAAACCAAAAAATTCGGATTTTATTTAAAGTGGACGCAAAATGTGCCTTCATGAACTTGATGATTTAATGATTTGACATTGTTCGTTTCGACTTATTTCAGTGAAGTATGTTGCAACTTCACAAGTTTGACAGTTTCCGTAGTGTAGTGGTTATCACGTTTGCCTAACACGTGAAAGGTTCCTGGTTTGAAACCGGGTGGAAACATTTTATGTATAACCAAAAAAATCGTTTTTTATTTTAAGTGCAGGTAAAATGTGCCCTCATGAAGATAATGAATTCATGATTCTTCATTGTTGGCATAGGCCTATACCAGTGAAGTGTGTTGCAACCTCACGGAGTTGACAAGCAGTTTCCGTAGTGTAGTGGTTATCACGTTCGCCTAACCCGTGAAAGGTCCCCGGTTTGAAACCGGGCAAAAACATTTCACGTTAAACCAAAACAATTCGGATTTTATTTAATGAGGACGCAAAATGTGCCTTCATGAACGTGATGATTTCATGATTCTTCATTGTTGGCATAGGCCTATGCCAGTGAAGTATGTAGCAACTACCCATGTTCTTCAAGCAGTTTCCGTTTTGTCGTGGTTATCACGTTCGCCTCAAACGCGAAAGGTCCCTGGTTTGAAACCGGGTGGAAACATTTTATCTTAAACCAAAACAATTCGGTTTTTATTTAAAGTGGACGCAAAATGTGCCTTCATGAACGTGATGATTTAATGATTTGACATTGTTCGTTTCGACTTATTTCAGTGAAATATGTTGCTACGTTACACGTTCTTCAAGCAGTTTCCGTCGTGTAGTGGTTATCACGTTTGCCTCACACGCGAAAGGTCCCCGGTTTGAAACCGGGCCGAAACATTTCACGTTAAACCAAAACAATTCGGATTTTATTTAAAGAGGACGCAAAATGTGCCTTCATGAACGTGATGATTTCATGATTCTTCATTGTTGGCATAGGCCTATGCCAGTGAAGTATGTAGCAACTACCCATGTTCTTCAAGCAGTTTCCGTTTTGTCCTGGTTATCACGTTCGCCTCAAACGCGAAAGGTCCCTAGTTTGAAACCGGGTGGAAACATTTTATCTAAAACCAAAACAATTCGGATTTTATTTAAAGTGGACGCAAAATGTGCCTTCATGAACGTGATGATTTAATGATTTGACATTGTTCGTTTCGACTTATTTCAGTGAAATATGTTGCTAAGTTACATGTTCGTCAAGCAGTTTCCGTAGTGTAGTGGGTATCATGTTTGCCTAACACGCGAATCCCCGGTTCGAAACCGGGTGGAAACATTTTACATAAAACCAAAACAATTCGTATTTTAATTAAAGTGTACGTAAAATATGCCTTCATGAACTTGATGATTTAATGATTTGTAACTGGACTATTCGACTTATTTCAGTGAAATATGTTGCTACGTTACATGTTCTTCAAGCAGTTTCTGTAGTGTAGTGGTTATCATGTTCGCCTAACACGCGAAAGGTTCCTGGTTTGAAACCGGGTGGACACATTTTACGGTAAACCAAAACATTTCCTGTTTTATTTAAATTGCACGTAAAATGTGCCCTCATGAAGATGATGATTTCATGATTCTTCATTGTTGGCATAGGCCTATGGCAGTAAAGTATGTTGCAACTTCACAAGTTTGACAGTTTCCGTAATGTAGTGGTTATCATGTTCGCCTAACACGTGAAAGGGTCCTGGTTTGAAACCGGGTGGAAACATTTTACGTATAACCAAAAAAAATCGTGTTTTATTTAAACTGCACGTTAAATGTGCTATCATGAAGATGATGATTTCATGATTCTTTATTGTTGGCATAGGTCTATACCAGTGAAGTGTGTTGCAACTTTATGAGTTTGACAAGCAGTTTCCGTAGTGTAGTGGTTATCACGTTCGCCTCACACGCGAAGGGTCCCTGGTTCGAAACCGGGCGGAAACATTTTACGTATAACCAATAAAAATCTATTTTATTTAAATTGGATCTAAAATGTGCTTTCATGAAGATAATGAATTCATGATTCTTCATTGTTGGCATAGGCCTATACCAGTGAAGTGTGTTGCAACTTCACGAGTTTGACAAGCAGTTTCCGTAGTGTAGTGGTTATTACGTTTGACTAACACGTGAAAGGTTCCTGGTTTGAAACCGAGCGGAAACATTCTATGTAAAACCAAAACAATTTGTATTTTATTTAAAGTGGACGTAAAATATGCCTTCATGAACTTGATGATTTCATGATTTGACACTGGACGTTTGGACTTATTTCAGTGAAATATGTTGCTACGTTACATGTTCTTCAAGCAGTGTCCGTAGTGTAGTGGTTGTCATGTTCGCCTAACACGCGAAAGGTCCCTGGTTTGAAACCGGGTGGACACATTTTAAGTAAAACCAAAACAATTCCTGTTTTATTTAATGTGCACGTAAAATGAGCCCTCATGAAGATGATGATTTCATGAAGATGATGATTTCATGATTCTTCATTGTTGGCATAGGTCTATAGTAGTGAAGTGTGTTGCAACTTTCTGAGTTTGACAAGCAGTTTCCGTAGTGTAGTGGTTATCACGTTCGCCTCACACGCGAAAGGTCCCCGGTTCGAAACTGGGCGGAAACATTTTACGTTAAACCAAAACCATTCGAATTTAATTTAAAGAGGACACAAAATGTGCCTTCATGAACGTGATGATTTCATGATTCTTCATTGTTGGCATTGGCCTATGCCAGTGAAGTATGTTGCAACTTCACAAGTTTGACAAGCAGTTTCGGTAGTGTAGTGGTTATCATGTTAGCCTAACACGTGAATGGGTCCTGGTTTGAAACCGGGTGGAAACATTTTACGTATAACAAAAAAAAATCGTGTTTTATTTAAATTGGACGTTAAATGTGCTTTCATGAAGATGATGATTTCATGATTCTTCATTGTTGGCATAGGTCTATACCAGTGAAGTGTGTTGCAACTGGACGAGTTTGACATGCAGTTTCCGTAGTGTAGTGGTTATCACGTTCGCCTCACACGCGAAAGGTCCCCGGTTCGATACCGGGCGGAAACACTTTATGTAAAACCAAAACAATTCCTGTTTTATTTAAAGTGCACGTAAAATGTGCCCTCATGAAGATGATGATTTCATGATTCTTCATTGTTGGCATTGGCCTATGCCAGTGAAGTATGTTGCAGCTTCACAAGTGTGACAAGCAGTTTCCGTAGTGTAGTGGTTATCACGTTCGCCTAACACGTGAAAGGTTCCTGGTTTTTAAACCGGGGGGAAACATTTTACGTATAACCAAACAAAATCGTATTTTATTTAAATTGGACCTAAAATGTGCTTTCATGAAGATGATGAATTCATGATTCTTCATTGTTGGCATTGGCCTATGCCAGTGAAGTGTGTTGCAACTTCACGAGTTTGACAAGCAGTTTCCGTAGTGTAGTGGTTATTACGTTTGACTAACACGTGAAAGGTTCCTGGTTTGAAACCGAGCGGAAACATTCTATGTAAAACCAAAACAATTTGTATTTTATTTAAAGTGGACGTAAAATATGCCTTCATGAACTTGATGGTTTAATGATTTGACACTAGACGTTTCGACTTATTTCAGTGAAATATGTTGCTACGTTACATGTTCTTCAAGCAGTTTCCGTAGTGTAGTGGTTGTCATGTTCGCCTAACACGCGAACGGTCCCTGGTTTGAAACCGGGTGGACACATTTTACGTAAAACCAAAACAATTCCTGTTTTTTTTAATGTGCACGTAAAATGAGCCCTCATGAAGATGATGATTTCATGAAGATGATGATTTCATGATTCTTCATTGTTGGCATAGGCCTATACCAGTGAAGTATGTTGCAACTTCACAAGTTTGACAAGCAGATTCCGTAGTGTAGTGGTTATCATGTTAGCCTAACACGCGAAAGGTCCCCGGTTTGAAACCGGGCGGAAACATTTTATGTAAAACCAAAACAATTCTTGTTTTATTTGAAGTGCACGTAAAATGTGCCCTCATGAAGATGATGATTTCATGATTCTTCATTGTTGGCATTGGCCTATGCCAGTGAAGTATGTTGCAACTTCACAAGTTTGACATGCAGTTTCCGTAGTGTAGTGGTTATCACGTTCGCCTAACACGTGAAAGGATCCTGGTTTGAAACCGGGCGGAAACATTTTACGTAAAACAAAAAAAAATCGTATTTTATTTAAATTGGACGTTAAATGTGCTTTCATGAAGATGATGATTTCATGATTCTTCATTGTTGGCATAGGTCTATACCAGTGAAGTGTGTTGCAACTTCACGAGTTTGCCAAGCAGTTTCCGTAGTGTAGTGGTTATCACGTTCGCCTCACACGCGAAAGGTCCCCGGTTCGAAACCGGGTGGAAACATTTTACTTAAAACCAAAACAATTCCTGTTTTATTTAAAGGGCACGTAAAATGTGCCCTCATGAAGATGATGATTTCATGATTCATCTTCTTTGGTTCTTTCGGTAAAGTCACGTAGAATGAGAATAAAATAATAAATTGATAAAATAAAATAACACAATAATATTCTCACGACGTTTCGGCCACAACACAAGCGGCCTTCATCAGGTGAAGGGAGCGAGACTGTCTGGTAGGACAGCGCTGGAGTGAGAGAGCCACGTTCAGATCACGGCTTTTAAGCTGTGTGAGAGGAACAAAGAGCCTTGACGAAGGAATTAGCATAAAATTTAGCATTGAAAAGGCTGAATGATTAGCTTGTGACTGGTCACAGAAATAGCTATGTTAAAAGTTAAAGCATACACATCCGCAGAGGCACCCATTGTTAAAAGGAATTAGCATAGAATTTAGCATTGAAATAGCTAAATTAAGGCATTCGCTTGTAACTGCTACAGAAATAGTTACGTTGAAGTCAGAGCATACACATTCACCGAGGCACTTAGTACCAATCAAAACAGGAGAATTTAGCATTGAAATAACTAGGCGAATTTAGCATTGAAATAACTGGGTGATTTGCTGGTGACTGGTCACAGAAATGACTACACATCTGAGCTATTCACAGTACTATATAGTGAACCAATAAAAACTAAAATATAAATTACCTTAATGTTATCAATAAATTCTATATTCTCCAATCAGCTAAGCTACCAACCATAAGTCGTTATATATCACAATGCTATATGGCGAAAAAATGGGTGGATTCTTACCCTCAAATTTCCGTACCACGGATAGCTACGGGCCCCGTTCAGACGGACGAGTTCGTCCATGGTCGGAACAGAGGAGGGGGAGAGAGACAGCTGCGAAGCCCTAGTATACTCCATGTTGTAAACCATACCATTAACCGTGGTGTGAGAGGTATTAAGAGGCAATGCTGGCGAAAGAGCTGCGGTCTGAAGGTCATCGTAAAATTACAATTAATTAAGAACAGAAATGATTTAACACATCTTTCCAGTGGTTACTAAGCCTGAATCCATCTTCTCGGTTGAAATTGTCTCTGTGCTTGTATATGTGAATGGCCTCATGAACGAATCTCTCATGGTAGCCAGTTGGTTTGCAAAGAACCTCCGTCTTGGAGAAGTCAATGTCATGTGAGCCCACTGAATTGTAACAGTGATCTGCCACGGCAGAGGAGTTCGTCTTACCGTGTTTCAAGTCTGCTTTATGTTCGCGGATGCGGTCCGAGATATGTCTTTTGGTTTCTCCAATGTAGCTACTACCACAGAGGCACTTTAGTTTGTAAACGCCCGGGTACTGTATGTCTGGAAGAGCATCTTTTACAGATGGAACTAAATCACGGATTTTGTGTACTGTGTTGAATCGGACCTGGATCTTGTGTTTATTCAGGATTTTGGAGATCTTTTTAGTGACCCCTGCAATGTAGGGTAAGGTGATGGCCAGCCTGCTCTAGACCAATTCCGCGACCACATCAATTCCATACACCCAGCCATCAGATTTACCATGGAGGTCGAAAAAGATGGCAAACTACCCTTTCTGGATGTCTTAATTAAAAGGAGACATGATGGTTCAATGAGCCACTCTGTCTACAGGAAAGCTACCCATACAGATGCTTACTTGAAACTGGATTCCCACCACCATCCATCCCAGAAGAACTGCCTCATCAAGACTCTATACCATAGAGCCCAATGCATTTCCGACCAGGAACACATTACCAGTGAACTCAAGCACGTACACCAGGCTCTCAGGGCTAATGGCTACTCCGACTACACAATCCGCAAAGCCATCACTCCAGTCATGAAGAAGGATCCTCTTGTGGAGCCACTCAAAACCATCACCTTACCCTACATTGCAGGGGTCACTAAAAAG